AGCTAGAGAAAGAGACAGACAGAAAGAAAGAGAGAGAGAGAGAAAGAGAGAGAGACAGACAGACAGACAGACAGACAGACAGAGAGAGACAGACAGACAGACAGACACAGAGACGGACAGACAGACAGGCAGAAAGAGAGAGAGAGAAAGAGAGGGAGAGGGAGAGAGAGAGAGAGAGAGAGAGAGAGAGAGAGTATGTTTGGGAAAAGGGGGTGACGGGATGGTTATAAAACCCCAGATAACACAGACAATGAAAGCAGACGCTGAGTGCGGAACGCCCCCGAAAAAAACAAACACGAAACAACACCAAAAAAAAAAGAAGAAAGGAAAACCCTCCTATCTATTCCTGAGTTCAGATTTGGCCGACTTTTTGTCTTGTGCTCACAACGAAGGGTCATAATAACCCTGGTCACTTCAGGCTCTTCCAGATCCCACCGGCCAGACCGGGCCTGCGTGTACTTTGCCCTAGTAACTCCTGACCCTTGAAGGTCATTCCTCTGATCGGAACAATCAAAGGGCAACCACCCACGGCTGTAGAAGTGGGTGGTTGGCGGATGCACTGGTGTAGTTTGCTCCTTTTTTTCTATCAAACATCTATCGTCCTAACCTCTCATCCCTCTCTCGTTGTATTTGTTACTCGCTTGTAACACGTCTAACCTTTGGCTCTTATAACCCAATTGTGTTGCAAGTGCAGTAATTAAACGTTTACTATAATAACGACGACTGTACAAAGCCGAAGAAATCAAAAACCCCTTTGAGGTGGACTTCACTGGTTGGGTTCGGGAACAGAGGCTGTAAAAGTACGTTATGTTGTATAAATCAGTTATAAATAACCTCCTTGACGTCGGATCCCTGACGATTTAACTCTCCTCAACGCTTCGTTGCGCACTCCTCTTTCCTCGACTTCAAAGTAGCTGGCCAGCTCTATTCGGACTCGAGCCCGATTAGATTTTTTTGTCTATTCGGACTCGAGTCCGAATATGGGTTTTATCTATTCGGACTCGGGTCCGAAAAAATGTTTTATTTATTCGGACTCAGCTTCAAAGTGAGTTATGTGAGTGCATGGAGGTTACTAATACAATTTTTTTTCAGGGGATTTTACGTTAAACCAGAATTAGAACTAGAATTACCAGCTTCTGTGAAATTGTATCAAAAGTCAAACGACTGCCCTCTCATTGCCCAGTGGCAGTGTCTAAGTACACGGTACCCGACCACTCCGGGTTTTTCCACCAGCACTATAGCATTATCATTACTTCATTTTGTTTTGTGTTATACTTTTCTGTAATTCTTTTTTAATCACATCGCACAAAATGGACAACCGTAGGCTCTTCCCTCTGCAAAGCGAGAGTGCGTGATCGCTACGCGCAATCTCACTGGTCGACCTATTAACTTTGCCCCCGGCAAGGTCAACTCAACTTGGTTGTTCTGTTAATTGTTCATACTAATGATGCAGGGAGGGCCAGTTTAGATAGATCTAGTAACTGGATATTAAAGTTCACGTCTCGATTGTTCATTATAATCGGAAAAAAAAAATCAATGCTGGAAATATTTCAGAACGAGGGTCGGAAATCGAATGGACGCCATGCTGGACTCAATTCAGAGTCCGAATATCATGTTTCACGGTGTGACAGAAAACAATTATTACCGAGTCCGAATAGTCGGTCCGAGTCCGAATAGTCACTTCGCTTCAAAATACGTGCACATGTATCACCATGTTCTCCTCTCTCTCTCTCTCTCTCTCTCTCTCTCTCTCTCTCTCTCTCTCTCTCTCTCTCTGACT